AATAATAATAGTAATAATAATAATAATGATAATAATGATAATAATAATAATAATAAAAGAGGAAAGCAATAATAATAATGATAATGGTAAGGATAATGATAATAATAATAATAAAAGGAAAACAATAATAATGATGATAATAATAATAATAAGAAAAGACGAAAGGAAAAAAGACTAGCATAAGGGAAGCGAAGGGAGGAAGAGGAAGAGAAGACGGAAGAGGAAGGGGAAAGGCGAGGGGAGAATGAATAGACGGCATACAGAGGCTGAAAAGGACGGGCCACTTGTGTGAGTTCTGAGCGGTCCGTGGTGCGTCCGTGTTTACTTCTGTTTGTTTGTTTGCGACAAGACCCGTTTACCTGTTACAAGCTCGGTGTGGCTGATAACGCCGTGCTTGTTTTAGGCCAAGGCTGAATGGGGCTGGGTCTTGCTTTCTTTTTGTTTGATATATCCTACTCTTTCTCTCTCTTTTTGGTGTATTTTTTTCTTGTTCTACTTCTGTATCTTCTTTTTAGTTTTTTTTTCTTCTATTCTTCTTTCTTTCTTTTTCTTCTTGTTCGTCTTCTTGTTCGTCTTCTTCTCCTTCTCCTTATCTTGTTCTTCTCAGTCTTCTTCTTCTTCTTCCTCCTCTTCTTCTTCGTCATCTTCTTTTTTTTTTCTTCTTCCTCCTCTTCATTTCTTCTACCGCTTTCTCTCCTTCATTTTCCATCCCCCCTCCCCCCTTCTCTCACCCCCTCCCTCCCCCAGAGTATATCTAGTGTATTTGAGATAACCCGATTTCCGCCATGATAACACAATAAAAAAATATATAGAATGATCAAGTAAATAATCAAAATTCCCAATAACGAATTCCATCACGGGAAAAAATGCTTAATTTAAGACCTCTATTTTACGAGCGAAAAAAAGCCATTCTGTTTTATTTTATTTATCTATTTATTTATTTATTTATTTATCTATTTATTGTTTTTTTTAGAGCAAATGAACGAGCGTGGTAAGGATGATTCGCAAATATTCCATTAATGCTCCTAAGAGAGAACAACGAACGGCGTTGACACGGAGAAAGCTTCACGGATTCGCAGACGTCGGAGAATGCTGGTGGGGTGGGGGGTAGGGGGGTGTTGGGGGGAAGAGTTGGAAGGTGGAGGGGAGGGGGCAAGAGTTGGGGGGTGGGGGAGGTGCTATGAGAGGTATTTTTGTTGTTATTTTTTTGGTGGTGGTGGTGGTGGTGGTGGTGACTGTGGTGTGTGATGGTGGTGACTGAGGATATTTTCTATAGTGACGTAATGTAATGATGGTGGTTTGTTATGTGTTGGTGAACAGGTGATTTTGATGGATGGAGAGAGAGAGAGAGAGAGAGAGAGAGAGAGAGAGAGAGAGAGAGAGAGAGAGAGAGAGAGAGAGAGGAGAGAGAGAGAGAGAGAGAGAGAGAGAGAGAGAGAGAGAGAATCGTTTCAGTGATGGTGATTAGCGGTTGTGGAGGTAGGTCAATTAATGGTGATAGTAATTGTGATGTGTGTGATGCTGATTATCCTGTGGACAATAAAAACATTTTCTGATGGTGACAGTGACGATAGCGAGGATTGCGTTATTGATATTAGAAAATTTTATTGATGAGGCTCTTCAGTAGCAACATCACCATTGAGATAAAGATGATGATCATTTCCGAAGTTGACATCAATGGAAGCCAAGTACATAGTTTTTTATACTCTTTTCATAAGAGCAGGGATATCATGTGTTCTCTCGGTCTGCATAATATCACGAATATTTGCAAACCTTGTGTGTGTGCCTGTGTGTGTGTACAGGTGCTTGTGGGCCCCTTTGTGTACATTTGGATGGGTGGGGGTATGAGAATGTGAGTTTGCTTGCATGTTGCTTTTGTGTATGTATATGAGAGTGAGTGTGAGTAAGAGTGATAGTGTGCGTGTATGTGCGTGTGTATGTAACATAACCCCAACCCATGCGGGGTCCCTTTGTGTGCGTGTGGCCGGCCCTAGATAGAGTTTCTCGTGTATTGTCAATATTTATATGAAAGCGCTCCGGGCAGCAGAGATCTGGCTCCCTTTCTGGCGACACTCCATTTCACGTGTTATGAGGCTGTTAGCTGGTCGTGGACAGGGCTGTTTCTCTCCCGTTGTTATTACTGGTAAGGAGGAGAGTAACTTGTGACTGGTACTGGGTGATGGTTTTGATGGTTTTGATTTTAATTGTGATTTGCGAAGTAATATCATGGCTAGATAGCTTATGAAATTTTCATAATGGCGGTAGTTGCAGAGAGGGGTGAAAGTTATAATATGAATTTCGCGTTTCAGGAAAATAAGCAAAGTGTGTTTGGACGTGAATTCAAAACGATTTGTTTATAATTTCACAATAGGATTTCATAAACTTCATACATGGAATTGAAGCCAAAAAATGGCGTAGAAATCTTTTACACAAGTCAGCTAAAATACGTTTTTCTTTTCATTTACAGTTGGCGTAACACACACGCATAGCTCCTCTCGAGGTAAGTGTCTTGAATATGTAAATTATATGAAAAAAATATGCTTTGATGAGTTGTTTTAGATTTTTTTTATTTAATGTATCGTATAATTCAGATTGAGTTTGGCTTTGTCGAGGATGCTCAGTGGGAGAGGTTTGCAACCTTGTGAATTGCAGGTGCAGGTGACGCGTTTAGCCATGGGTATTTGCACAGAATTCTAGTTAAAGTCACGTGTGTGTGTGTATGAAGGTATCGATTTCTAGATGTTAGTTTTGAAAGACTAAGTGTAAATGTATATTTTTGGGGCTTCGGTATGTGTGTGTGTGTGTGTGTGTGTGTGTGTGTGTGTGTGTGTGTGTGTGTGTGTGTGTGTGAGAGAGAGGGAGAGAGAGAGAGAGAGAGAGAGAGAGAGAGAGAGAGAGAGAGAGAGAGAGAGCAAGTGAGCGAGTGCGTGTTAGGCATGCGGCCGGGCAGACAGAGAGAGAGTATATGCTTACATGCGTCAGTACCGCAGCAGTACAGCAGGTTATCGCCACTTCGACCGGTAAGTAAGAGACGGTAGGCGGAAAGGTGGGCAACAGAGGCCTTTCTACCGGCTAGGATTCGCCCTTCTACCCCCCCCCCCTCCCCCCTCCCATCACCCTATCTCTCCCCCCACCCCCACCCCTTCACCACACTCTAAAGGCCTCGGAATTAAAGAGCTCTCTAGCCAGGCGTCGCAAGGAAGGATCTATTTTTAGCAGCGCAGACCAGGCCTGGTTGTAATACTTCATTCCTGGGATGTTTACGTCTCGCCGATGGCCGCTTGACCCGTTGCATTGTGTGGCCGCGCGGGGGTCAGGCGGGAGGGGGGAGGGGGAGGATGGGGGGAGGAAGGGTAGGAGGAGGGAGGGAGAGGGGTGGGTGGGGGAGGAGGGAGTGGGAGGGAAGGTAGGAGGAAGGAGTGGGAGGGAGAAGGGGGGAGGGGGAGGAGGAGGAGGGGAGCTGGTTCTGGTTTAAAGTGGGGGGAGAGGGAGGAAAGGGGAAGTGGGAGAGGAAGGGAGAGGAGGAAGAATGGGGAAGGAGGTGGAGAATGAAGAGGAAGGTAGAGAAAGAAGGGGAAGAAGAGGATGAGGAAGGTAGAGAAAGAAGTAGGTAGAAGATGAAGAGGAAGGGAATGTAGGATGTGGAAGAAGGGAGGAAAGGGAGAATAAAGTGAATGAGTAGAGACGAGGAGACGAATGTGTGGATACGATAGAAGCAAAGTAAGATGGGAGGGAGGAAGGAAGACTTAAAGAAAAGAAGAAGAAAAGGAAATGAATAAGAACAGAAAATAATGATATTGATTGTAGGAGAAGAGACGATAAGAAGAAAGAAAAAAATATAGAAAAATGAACTGAAAACAAAAAATTAGAGAAAAGTCAGAAATGTGAACAAACAGAAGCAACGGAGAGTTAAAACCAGAAAAGACTAAAGAAATACGCAAACAAACAAACGAGCAATTCAAAAACAGTCAACGAACCGTAAACCACACCTGACGCGCGCCTTGACCCATATGATCACGTGACCAGAATCCCGCGCGTTCTAGAATCTCGTCCAAAAATGGCGGGAAAATTAATCCTGCAGCTGATTTACGCACTGGGGAGAGAGAGGGGGGAGAGGAGGAGGGGGATGGAGGGAGGGAGGGAGGGAGACGTTGCACCTGTCACGTCTTCCAGGTTGAATCGTGCGTCCAGGTTGAGATTGAAGAGCAAAATGAGTTGATTGATGCCTTGCCGCCGATCGTGACTGACAGAAGAACTATACTGGGGCAAAACCTGCTCCGTCATGCGGTGGTGAACTTCTGGCCGGTAGAGGAGTGGTGGGTCATGCAAAAGGGGGTTGGGATATGGGTGTTCGGATGTTGCGTCATGCAGAATTCGTTACAGTAGGCATATTTTTTCCCCTGTGTCATGCAGAGTTGTAAAAATGGCAGTGGGGCTGCCGGTGTATGGTTTGTCATGCCTACGTTTCATGATTGGGGATGCTGGCATGTGTCTTGTCATGCAGAAAGGTGTGGCCAGGAGATCATCAACATGCACTACCGTTAACGCACGAAAGGTCAACACCTGACGTCGTTCACCAGAAGAGGTCAAGAGGGCAAGCGATGGCGAGCGAGAGGTCACATTCCTCAGGGGTCAGAGGTCGGCACCCATCTGTTATTTTGTGTGTATTTTTATCTGTTGTATCTGTGCGTATTGCGCCGGGCGCTTCTCCGCTTCTCTGATTTGTCGGAAAATATATTAGTTTGTTTACACTTACATGTATTATAAATACGACATGAATTATGCGAATCCACCGAAAATATGCTTTTTAAACTTAAATTACGTTATATATTCATGGTTTACTTCCTCTTTCAACATTACTTTTAATCAGCTGGCGATTTACAATGGGTAAACCGCATCTACATGAACTCATGATGAGATCACCGCTAACATATGGTTAATCACTGAACACCTGAATGAAATAGATGTGACGTCAGGTCTTCTATAACTTTATCAAAAGG